ACGTGTCAGGGTTCACGCCCTGCACGTCCTGCACATGTGCCGGGGTTTACGTCCTGCACATGTGCCGGGGTTCATGTCCTGCACACGTGTCGGGGTTCATGCCCTGCACACGTGTCAGGGTTCACACCCTGCATGTCCTGCACATGTGCCGGGGTTCACATCCTGCACACATGTCAGGGTTCACGCCCTGCATGTCCTGCACACATGTTGGGGTTTACGTCCTGCACATGTGTTGGGGTTCACGCCCCTGGCTTGGCTCCGCTTCAGAGAAGGGTCCTCACCTCTCACTGCTGGGAGCAGACCCCTGAGCCAGACGGCTGCTAGCGTGCTCTAGCTCAGAGTGACCTCTGATACATGCTGCAGGTGGTCTCCCAGCTACACGGCTCAGTCTGACAACGTACAGAGAGAGCGTTGCGTTGAGGTTTCCAGTTTTAGTTATGTTAAAATAAGCTATGGACATAGCCTCAGAGAGAACTAGAGCCACTCAAAGTCCCCATACAGGACTCACTGGCTGCAGAGTCATTCTGAGATGTACCATATCTGGTTTCCAGCTTGCGGGGGCTCCAGGGTGCCACCGATGAAACTCCAGACCCCTTCTTTGCTCTGAGTTACCACCCTGTGAGGAATGTTGATGGGTCAGCGAGGGCTGGGGGACACAGCTTGGGTTTGAGGCTGAAATGGGGCTCCCTACCCCTTTCCCCACATTGAAGAAAGTGCTCAGGATGTGTTTGGTTCTGGAAATTTCCAGAAGCACCTTTACTGGCATCAGGTTTAATGTGGGGCCACAGGGAGATATCAGGTGGAGTGGCTCATCCCCTCAGATGTCACATTGAGGATTGGGGACCATGGGACCCAGTGAGGGCCAGAAAGTTGGGGGCACCTAGAGGTATTTTATTCTGAGTACGTGTCAGTGTAACTGGTTAACAGCAACTGGAATGAATGGAGTCCACTGTTTCCTGATTGGCCGTCTTATTGATGCAGTTCCCTAAATTGTGTTTCAGAAGCTTTAAATGAATGTGAACTCGGGGGTAGGATTTATAGCTGGAAAGGGGAAGCAGGCTCCCGGAAGTCCTGGGGAGAGCTCCAGGGCCCGGGGCGTCAGGAACCACAGGGAGGGCGGAAAGCTTGGCGAGGTGCAGCTGTGCCGAGGTCCTCCGCCAACTGAAAACTCACCAGGTGTATTGGGGGTCCTGGAGGCGACCAGTGCCTGGGTCACCACCCGGAAGCACCAGTGGCCCTCAGATTGGGTCCTAGAGCACGTTCATTGAAGAAGAGAGCATCCTTATGATCTCTTATTTTCCTTCTCGATGATTTGGGACCACACATGGCAAGAGTGGGGTCTGTGGAGTGGTCGGGTGCCTGGTGGTTGGGGCCGCCACGGCTGCCTGGCACCCTGGTAAGCATGGAGGAGGACAGTGTATCCACAGCCTGCTGCTCCTCAGCGTGTTTCCCGTGCGGAAGGTGCTCCCCGTGGGCGGGCAGGTCCCAGGGA